GGGGGGGGGGGGGGGGGGGGGGGGGGGGGGGGGGGGGGGGGGGGGGATTGAATGGGTGCGCAACCAGCATGTTGGTTCCCTGCTTTCGGGGCTGGAGCATCCTCCCTGCTGGACGCAGTACTAGTAGTTGAGACGGAGAGGAAGTTCTCCGTCGTGGTACATACAGCCGCTGCAACGCATCAATGTATGATACTCCAAAATATAGTTCAGCACCCGCATTCTTCTCGTCCCATTGCACTCTCTGTATCGCCATAACCTACTGCTGCATGTCCCAGGATTTCTGGCAACTGGGTAGGCAAAAAGCATTCGTACCTCTCGGTACTGCTAATGCGTGGCTCGACTCTTTGTGTTTTCTGTGCCATCACCATACCAGGCAATGAATCATTCTGCCCTCACACTCGTACAAAACAAACAGAGGGCTGTGGGCACATTCTGCGACCCACATGGCTGGTTCTCGTTACTATTTCCTTGGAACAAGAGGTATCCTTGCGGACTGCCTACATGTGTGTGTTATTTTATGTGTGTGTGGTATGCTAAGACGCTGCTTCTGTGATGAACGGTCGAACAGCTCACGGCAGTCCTTTCGTCAGAAGTAACGGCATCGATTTCTCGTTGTGCAGTCTCTTGCGCTTTCCGCTGGCGTAAGCGTAAGAGGTCTGACCAGGTCCTCCGCGTTACGAAGGTAAGTTGCACTTGTAGTTAAGCGCATCTAAATATTAGAGTGGGTTCCTGGGCATGAAGAGGCCGAAAGACTGCTGCTTGCATGATGCGAAAAAAACTGATTTTGCAAGCAACACTGCAGGTGTGAAAGTAAAAGATCCCCCCGCGCGTCGAACAGACTGGCGCAACACGCAATCCGCACAAGCACACACCTCTCCGAAAAGCACTGGTTCCTGTACGAGATCAGGAGGGGCGTCGAGAAATTCGTACAGCGCGGGCAGGCTCGTGACTACCGGCACGTCAATCAGCCTCCTGAGGTAGACCTCGAAGACCACGGGGGAAGAGCCCTCGGGCGGGGGGCCGGGCACCTTCGCGTCCGCCGCGGAGCCCGCGAGCTTCCCCATGAGCGTCACGCCCAGGGCAAAGAAGTCCTTCTCGGAGCGGCTCGCCGTCCAGGTGCGGCGAGTCCCGGTTCCGGGCTCCACGTAAGACGCCTGGATGCTAAGAAGCTTGGCCCCTCCGCCGCCGCCGCCGCTGCTGCCACTGTAAGTTGTCGTAGTCCTGCCGTCGTCGGACACGACCCAGACGTCGAGGCCTTCTGCGGCGAGAGACATCCTTGTCGTGTAGGAGAGGGCATCTTCGAGCCTGGAGGAGCGAGAACGGGGCGACGTCGACGACGACGAGGAGGAGCTGCTGCAACGGCTGCTGATGTCGCCGCGATATTTGCTTGTTCGACGAAAACAAAAGTACTGCTGCGGAAGAGTGGAACATTGTGGAACCGGCGCGGCGCCGGGCTTGTTGCTCCCAGCGGGCTTCGCCGGCGTGGTCAGCCGGGTGGGGTGAAGCAGTGCATCGGCTGCCAGCAACAGGAAAGGGATTAGAGCGGCGGTCGACGCCACCACTGATCGTCGCGTAATCATCTGGATGGGGCGGGTCTGCTACTGACACAACGCAACGACAACTTGTACGGCAATTTCTGTTTGCAAGGGGGCGACGCGTTGGGACTGCCGTCGAAATATCTACATGTAGATGGCATGTAGGTATCCCTTTGGGGAGCCGGTATACGAGACCCTAGGGTCCCGTATATAAAACGCGACCCTAGGGTCTCGTACATTAAACGCGACCCTGGGGTCCCGTATATAAAACGCGACCCTAGGGTCTCGTATATTAAACGCGACCCCTGGGACAAGACAGCCGCTGCATTTTGTGGCAAGCGCTCGCCCCACAGCCCTCCTGGATAGCTCTCGTCCCCTCCACACCACTTTGAGACCTCTGAACGTGAGTATGGCTGTGTTTGCGCGCAAAAAGAGGGGCAAACGGTGCAGAAATCGCTCCCCAAGTAGTCTTCGATGTCTGCGCACTTTTTGAACTGCTGCTGCTCTTCCCGCCCTTTTTGAACTGCTGCTGCTGTGGGTAGCCTACTGCTGCTGTATTACAAGTAGGTAGACGGGCTGTGCGAATAACGCCGTACAAGCCCTACAAGAAAGCAGCGTGCTTGCGAGACAAGAAGTCTAAGATTGATATCCGTCCGACATCCCGGGTAGAGTGAGGTCGGTTCGTATAGTCTACATACATGTACATGTTGGACACATGTTTTTCATGTGTCGTGGTGCGGGACCACCCACCGCGACGTGCGGCTAGGTATGCTACTCCAAATAGTAGATATAGGAAGTATGGGCTAAGTATTCTTGTCCGGGTTCTCTCGTCGCGGAAACGCGCAGGACGATGCGGCCCACGACAACTCTGCGCCAGAACCTTCATGAAATCGACGCAAAGGTGCAGGCTCTTCTCGAAAAGAAGGGAGGTGAAGCTTTGAAGAAGAAAGGACTGCAGCAGGAAGATTGTGCGAAGATCGTCGCGTTCGCCGCTAAACTAAAGGACCCGCTGGACGGGCAGGACCCGTCGCCTATACCACCGGTACGCCGTTTTTCGATGTTGCGCCTGGTTGTTGCAGAAGCACCTTTTGGATGATCGGACGGGAAGCAACACGTAGCATTGACGCAGTAGTCATTTTGTTGTCCCCCGCCTAGATCAAACGACGAAATTACGCCGTGTGTAATCGTGAATATTGATGCAGGGCGGCAAGCTACCCTTTGTTGGTAGTAGGGAGGAAAATGTTGACCGGTTCGCCGCCGGGATGATAACTGGGGGCAAGTTCGAAGACGGTTCGGGCAGAGGTTTTGTACCCCAACAGACAACGNCCCTAACCCTAACCCTATCCCTTTGTGGGACTGCCTTCGAATTTTCATATCTCATCTGCGAAGACTCTGGTCATCGGTGTCAAGAGGGCTCGCGGAGACGAATCCTGAAAGCACTGACCAGATCACCAGATCAGGGGGTGGGGGGGTGGGGGTGGGGGGGCTGCTCTCTACCGTATACGGTTTGTCAACTAGGATTTATAGTATAACCTTTACATGGTCTATGTAGGATTTAGAACAGAGGTGCGCATATGTTTTTTTTTTTTTCCTCCCATCATTGGACTCTGTCGTCTGCCCCTCTGGCCCCTATCCTCCACTTCTACTAGCTAGACGACCCAACCGGGGTCACATAGGAGGGGGGGGTTGGACCCCTTCCTGCGGTTCCTGCCTGAGGTATTTTTATCGCGAGAAGGGTACAGCAATCCCTTCCCTCGCGACTTATGAAGTCGATTTTATGTAGAGGGAATGATCGTGATCCCACGAACATCGAGGCACATCTTGTAGAGACTCCAGACGAACGGAACTCTTTGCCACTCGTCGCCACGTACGAGAACTCTGAAGATCGACGCACGTTCGGCACAGAGCTGCGGATTCTCGGGCACGGCAGTCCTCCTACTCCACCCAATCCATACGACCGCAATCTCCGAACCCTAACCCTGCGCCGAAATGCGTCCACACGTGCAATGCCACGAGTAACAGCATATTGGTGAAATTGAGAGCGAAGCATCTGATTGAGAGCGAGATTGCGCGATACGCTGTAGCCGGACTACCACTGAGAGGTGGAGCTTGCTGTGTAGCTTGAATTGAAGGGCTAGCCCGTAGCTTCAAGCCGCTACCCTGGTCNAGCTGGACTACTGCTGAGAGGTGGAGCTTGTTGTGTAGCTTGAGTTGAAGGGCCAGCCCGTAGCATGGTAGCTACAAGCAGATACCCTGGTCATCTTGTGGGAGTCTCTCGATGTGGAGTTACAGCGGCGAGCAGCAGCTACATACAGAGCCCACCGAGGCCAAACCGCCCTGCAACAGTTTGAGGCAGGAATAGCCAATCTGGGGAAATCTAGCAACTTGTCTAGCTCCTAGCTGCAGCATCCGATGACGATGACACCCATATGCTCGTGACACTGGAAATATAGCAACCTGTCTAGCTCCTAGCTGCAGCATCCGATGACGATGACACCCATATGCTCGTGACACTGGAAATATAGCAACCTGTCTAGCTCCTAGCTGCAGCATCCGATGACGATGACACCCATATGCTCGTGACACTGGAAATATAGCAACCTGTCTAGCTCCTAGCTGCAGCATCCGATGACGATGACACCCATATGCTCGTGACACTGGAAATATAGCAACCTGTCTAGCTCCTAGCTGCAGCATCCGATGACGATGACACCCATATGCTCGTGACACTGGAAATATAGCAACCTGTCTAGCTCCTAGCTGCAGCATCCGATGACGATGACACGCATATGCTCGTGACACTGCTGATGACAGATGACACCTTCAATTTGCGCCGCTTCTTGGAAGAGCCCGCCCCCTACTTCCCAAGAAATGGCAAGAGGCGTCTGGACCCGAATATTTTTTTTTGGCTCTCGCTCTCAATTTCATGCTTCGCTCTCAATTTCACCAATATGTTGTTGAGTGTATCCAACACCCTTTCCTCGTGCCATGTATGCAAGTTCCCCAACACTTCTCCGCCCCAGCAAGTCAGCAGAGTCATTTCTGCTGTCTTGTACCAAGAAATATTTTGTCTGTAGTACATAGTCTAGACATAAAAGTCTAGACTATTCGTATTTTTTGCATTTATCCCGCGTGGCAGGAGTAATAAGGTAGGTCATGGACTCGCCGTGGTGTATGCTGCAGCTAGAGTTGTTGTTGTTGTTTGTTGTTGTTTCTCACATTAGCTCTAAAGAAGAAAGATTGGGAGCCCGTGGTCTCAAAACCCGGCATACACGACCCCACGAAGAAACAGAAAAAAATAGGGTACAAAAACCACTCGGAAGAGAAACAAAATTATAGAAAGAAAAACCAGCTACCGNGTCTACGCGCTACTCGAGGCTCTTTTCCTCTTGATGATAACCTCAGCCGTGATTACAATACACAACGTGGTCGAAAATAGTGATCTCCACCTGTCCGAGTATCAATCTCGAAAGGGTTTTCGTGGCATCAAAATAGACGCTTCCAGGAAAAATCGCGCCGCAGGCGCAACCCTCGCCCCATCTCACCAAGACCAGCCCTACGCTGCACGTTTCAAGTGCACGTCAATCTTACGCCAAACCACGGACAGTGGGCTAGACTACTAGGGTTTTGCCCTTGGTTCCCTCCACCGCCGACCAGCCTCCCGGCGAAACGTCGGGCGATGAAGCCTACCCGCAGTCAAGAAGAATGGGAATCTGAGACCAATCCTCTGCCAATCTTTGTTTCGACCTCTACTCACGTCGTTGCTACTAACTGACCCCGGGACCACGTTTTGATGAAGGAGGAGAGCAAGGGAAACAGGGACTCGCGGTGACAAGCTGAGCTCTCCAACAACAGCACGAAAACGCTGTTCACAAGCGCTTTAATGCGGACCCCGAAAAGTCAACAACCTATCTTGGGGTCCCGAGAGAACTTTTTTCTAACAAAAGCCCTGTCAGATACGGTTAGCGCCCGTACTCAAGAACTCGACAGTCAAGAACCTGAAATAGACTCGAAAATCTCAAACAAATCTAAGAAGTTGAGCACTATTTGTGAGCTCGATAAAGAATCCCTACACTAAAGTCTATCTACCGACCATTCGTAGCATGACCGTAGGAACAAAGGACCCGAGCCTCCGCCAAAATTAGAGGTTCCTATGTGAGGGCACTAACTGTACAAATAAATCTGGTCGGGCAATTGGTTGTTCATTTGCCCCTCCTGAGGCGATATCATACACACGTGTCCACGTCCCAATTTTTTTTTCGGGTCGTATCCCTTTCGATTTGAAAAACGTGTGGATCCGTTGCCTGGTAAGACCAAAGTCACATCGATTGGCCCAAGCATCCCTGCCAACATGTGGCCACATCACGGATGGATGCGAATCTTGCTTTCAGGGAAACACACATGGGCAACTGAAGCTCCCTCCGCGCGTCTTACGTCAAACCGCCCCCCAATATGATACTGCAAGTACCTATTTTTTTATTTTTGCCGTCTGCCGGCCTGTCAACGTTCTTCGAAATATGTCAAGGCTCATTTTGTTTTGGAAATAGCAATGAATGGCGTCTGGAACTGCGCCTAGCCGCTGGCATCGCCCGAAATCCATGACCACTTCGTAGCAAGAACCGTAGCCTTTTGCTCACTCGACGAGACCTTACTGAGCATTCAGCTATTAAGGCCCATGTTTATGGTTTCCAAATCATCTGTATCCTTTCTTTGGACAAATGCTGGCTTGTTCGACCTTCCTTGTGGGCAGTCTGCCTCCCAAACGAATGCGAATCAGCTGTTCGACCTTTGAGAACAGTCACAGCTTTGGCTGAGTTGTCTACAGATCGCCTACATTTTTCGCCGGGGCCCAGGTTTGATTTATCAAGATGCGCAATTTTCACGCAAGATTTTTCCATCACCAGCTTTTGGAGAGATCTTGGCCCAAGAATTGCTCCGAGTTGGCCTTTCGGCCGAATCTTCAACATCTTGCTCTGCTGGAAAGAAATCAAACGTGGACCCTGGCGAAACAAATAGGTAGGCGGTCTGTATGCATCTCAGGCAAAGCTGTGACTATTCTCGAAGGTCGAAGAGCTGATTCGCACTCGTTCGGGAGGCAGACTGCCCAAAAAGTCGAAAAAGTCAACATTTGTCCAAAGAAAGGAAGATACAGATTTGGAAACCATAAACACGGGCCTGACACGTGGGTTCGTGACCGGCCCCGCACATACTATACTATTTGAACAAAACAGTACACAGATTATAAAAGCAATAACGGCCGTCGTATCGTGTACGGCTCCCAGAGCTCCGTTGGTAGAGCGCGGCTCTGATAAAGCCGAGGTCCCGGGTTCGAACCCCGGTGGGAGTAGGATTTTTTGCCTGGTGGACATTTCACGCAGCGAAAAATTCCGAGATGCTTCATGTACGGATGATTGGCATGCAAAAGAAAAGCCCCGGTGTTCAACCCCTCCTGTCAGACCCTCGATGGTTGTATGATGCATAGTCAAGGGTACACGTGAAAAAATTTCAAGACACATATGCGTAGGCTACAAATAAAAAATCGGCGTCATTTGGGGGGAGGGGGGCACATATTTTGGGGGGGGAGATGTATTCATTGTCGTGCATGCCGTAGTCGTTAGACCATTGACCTCGCATCCATGCAAGGCCGGGACGGAGCACGCCGCGTTCTCACCGGACCAGACTCTCACATCACCAAGCGCGAAGCGCATTGCGGTATTCGGCGAGTCGCACGAAGGGTGCGGCTGCATCCTGCTAAGGGTGTTCGGCATATTGTGCTTATTACTTCTTTGCACACGGATGACAACTAACTGCGAATGACTTAATTATTTTTCTGGTGCTTCCACTTCTAGAGACAGTGATGAGCATTCATTGTGTAACTGCCTCGAGGGTGCTTGACCGTTGTAACACAACAAGGTGCGATCATCACCTTTGCGCGGAGGGAATGTTCTCAACCCCGCACAACATGACCTACTCGACCACCATCATCATGGTTCCCGCAAAAAAAAAAAGAGGCAAAAAAAAACCGACACCCTGGTGGTCGAGCTCACGAAGCGATCGACTTGGTTTACAACGTCATTGCCATTCGACGGAAACCCAACCCCGATGTCAAACACCGGGGGGGGGCGTACTCTTATGTTTTGCATGCCTTAGCGGTTAGACCATTGACCACGCGTCCTCGAGAGGACGGAGCATTGTTCCCACACGATCGAGCGCCGATCGCCAATCGTTCCTTCCTACTTTGCCAAAGGTGGCTCAAAAATGTCTTCCCTAGTCTGTCTATCCTAACGATATCCCTTCCCGCCTTTTCAACCCACCTCCTATGCCCCAGTACAGCTACCGTCCTTTCCTCTCTATTCCAT